AAGACAGAGATGTTGAAGTGGGGAAACCATACGAAGACGAAGATGGTATAACAATTGTTCCTGTAAAAGAACCAACATATCCTGAAGTTAACAGAGACTTAAGTTCTGTTGCAGATATTCGAAACGACTACCAACAACTGAAAGACAAACTTCAAACTCAGGAGAAGATTTGTCAAGCTTTAAGTATAATGTTAAACTTGTTCGAACACAACCCTGTAAAAGTGAACTCATATGTCATTGCACTCATGAAGTTTTGAAAGAACTATTGAAACTTTTGACAGAGGCAGACGATATAAGCATCAAAGAAATAGAACCCGACATTGGTTGCTGTGGTGTTTCATATAATGTCATTGACAAGATATACGTTATGAAAGGAGTGAAACGTTGAACTTAAAATATAGTTTCCCAGACGTTATAAAAATATTTGGACCACAACATTTCATTAAAATTTATTTGCTAAGTAAATGGCAGAAGACATAATGGTTTATACTATTACGACTAAAAACCCTGAGTCATATAATTATATAACAACAAACTTACAAAGTCCTCAAGGACGATATTGTAAACTAACCTTAAACACAATGACGACTAAAGCCTGTTTTGCTCTTTTGACACCAGAAGACTTTATTGTTGTGAATGGTAAAAAATACTCCTTTGAAGATACTTACTCAGATATACCACAACAGGTTTTGTTGACTTATTTTACTTTAAGTACGGGTGTAACATGTGCTGCAACTAGAGCAGGTTTCATTATGTTTGGATGTCCGACTGAGTTTACTATAAACGATATGAGCTATAATACAAAACTTATTTCTGGTTTTTACTACCAACAGTTTCCTATAACAGGAAAAGGTGTCATACAAGGAATGTCTATTCCATTGACATTAAGCACACCAATCTTATATTGTTTCAAACTTAGGTTCAAAGTGTTATTCGAATGTCGACAGAAACTATTATGACCAAAAGATACTTATGCGTATAAACAATACTTTCTCTGCTGGTTTGCCTATTGTTCATTCGAATGCAGAATTTTCAACCTTAGTGAACTCAAACACTTTGGCAAGTATAACGTTGACATTAGTTGACGCAAACTTTGTTCCTGTAAAACTTTTATGTCCTATGTATTTGTCAATGACGGCAGAAAGTTTCGAATGGAAGATGCAACTGGTGAAGTATTGTATTACAAGAACAACTTCAACAACAAATAGCTCAAGAACAACACATGCAACAAATGGAACAACAAAGTCAAGAATAAAAAAAATAATTTTTTTTTATTTTTATAAAAATGTACAGAATAGATGTTTCAGATTTTTATGACTTCCAAGCATTCAGAAATATGTGTCCATTTAGAGACTATAACAAAGCAGTCGAGAATTTGAAACGTTTAGTCATTTATGTTGACTCTGCCCAGAATGTTATGTCATGAAAGAATGGGATGTTGTCTTTAACAAACCAAGAGCAACAATAGTTTCAGAACAAGAATATAGACAGAAACTTAAGAAAATAAAGTCGTACAAGTTGGCATGAAGATGTTAGATGCTTGGGATATCTTATTGTTAAAACTTGAAGATTTTTCAGTTCGTGTATAAAGTTTTATACACCTTCTCCAAACTTCATTCTATCTTCACTGGATATAAATATGAACAAGTAGAATGGAAGAAAATATTATAGAAGCTTGGTTAGACCATGTCAAAGAAATTATATGCAATGGAAACGAAAAGGTTTATGAGTATATCTTATGTTGGTTTGCAAACATCTTACAACATCCAAGTGCTAAAAATGAAACTGCTCTCATTATAATTGGAAAACAAGGAACAGGTAAGAACACATTCTTTACAGATATCTTATGCAAACTGTTAGAAGGTTATTCGAACCCTAATATGACAAACTTAGAAAACATCTGTGGCAGTTTAACTCCTCAATAGAGAATATGAAACTTATAGTTTGCAATGAACTTCAAAGTATAGATACAACAAAAGTTTTGAACTCAGATGCTTTGAAGAGTCTTATAACAGACAAAGTTGGAGTTGTTGAAAGAAAGTATAAAGACCAAAGAGTTTGTGAAAATGTTGCAAACTTCATTATGGTTTCAAACAATGCTGTTCCGATGAAGTTAGAAAGTTCTGACAGAGATATGTAGTTGTCAGAACGTCAGATTCTCATATGCAAGATACAGAATATTTTGACGACTTAGCAGAAACTTTGACATCTGACTTTTACAACCACTTGTTCTCATATTTCATGAATTAGATATTTCTAAGTTCAATCCAAGACAAATTCCACATACCGAAGAGAGACAAACATTGTTAGAAGCAAACAAGAGTGTATATGAACTGTTCATAGATGAAACTGACTTTGTGTCATTAGATGAAAGTCTTTATATGATGAATATAAACAATATTGTCAAGAATATGGTTATATGGCAGCTTCTAAACGTACATTCTTGGCAATGTCAAAAGTCTTTTAGACGTACAGAATGGTGTATATACAAGAAAAATTTTTCTGAGTAAATTTAAAAAAAAATATTTTTTATCCGATAGAAAAGATGACGAAATATATTTCAGTAAACAAGTACATGTTCAGGACTTAAAGAAGAACTAGACCCATTCACATATTTGAATGTTTTACTTCTACCATTTTGAAAAGTCTTCATTCAGCAAAGTTTGGAACATCGAACCAGTTAAGTTTGCTATTGTGACTAAAATGGTGCGAAATTTGAAGACTTAGACATAGAA